TATTGCTTTGCTGGGAGCTTACGAGGAAGCCAGTTGCCGTTGTGCAGCCAGGATGGCGGACGCGTCTGGCCTGATGTAGGCGGAGAAGGCCGAAGAGGACCAGCGCCCCAGCTGTTGCAGAGAGGTGTGGGGGAGCCCCAGCGAGGCCGCGCGCGTGGCAGCGCCTATCCTGAATGAGTGAGCTGTGTAGAGCTGGGGAGATAATTTACAGAGGAGCAGTAGGGATCTTAGCTGAGCTCTGAACCAGGTTGCTGTCATGGGAAGAATGTCTGGAGTGAGAAAGAGAGGTCCGTTAAAATCTCCTTTTTGCAGCGGAGGCGAGTGTAACGCATCATGGACCTGTAGGGGCAGAGAGATGTGTCGGAGCGAGCTATTACTATATTGCAGGCTCCTTTGATTTTTTGAATGTTTGAGATGAAGGTTGAAATGGTCAGGGGACGTTAAGTTGGGTGAAAAAGAGCGACCTTTGTGTAATGCTTCCACTACATCGAGATTATCACACATGACAGAGATCCTCTTTCTCTGCCACGTGTGATTCCACAGCGCGCAGCCACGACCACTGGGAATATCTCGTGTAGGGCAGAAGAGATGCTCCGGTGGAAAGTAGCGGCCACGCTCGGCAAACCAATGGTCCTGGAAGAACCCCCAAAACCCACGGAAGGGGCAGCGTCCGTGTAGAAGCGGAGACCTGGAGGGGCAGAGACATGTCGGAGAGGGCCATTGATGTTTGCAGGCGCCCTTACGCTTAGAATCTTGGGTTGGAGAGTAGATAATCAGGATAGTAGGATGGTCGGGAAAGCCGTGTCTCGGACCGCATGAAGGTTGAGTGAGCAGTAGTGAAACGCTTATGCAGAGAAGCCATAGAAGGCGAGCAGGAAGATGCTGCGAGGAGGGCAGACATGTACTTGGAAGATGAGCCGGAGTTCAGTGCCGCTGCAGGATGGGCAGCATGATGGGGAACCTGCGATCAGAAGAGTGAAGAATACAGGTATGGATGCGTTTGATTAGGAGTCCGATTGACGGCTCAGCGCAGCAACTCGGCCGGCTGCATCTGATAGAATCAGAAAATTAAGTATAGAGATGAAGCATGACCGCCGAAGCGACCCTGGGAGCATAGGTGCGAGTCCAGCGCAGCGCGGCATACTCAGCCGGGCTGCGTCCATTAGAAGCAGGATAAGCTTCTGAGAGAGTGGGTAGCAGCAGCTGCAGCATCTGTAGATAATAACAGCAATAATCCTGTATCAAAGCCACAGCAGTAGAATGTTGTTGTAGCTGTTCAGTGTTTCAGTAAAAGATGCCGGTGAAGAGAGATGGCAAAGTAAACGAAGCAGCAGCAGCGGTAGCAGTATGAAGCAGCAAGCATTAGCAGCAGCAGTTGCAGCATCCGTAGATAATAACAGCAATAATCCTGTATCAAAACCACAGCAGTAGAATATTGTTGTAGCTGTTTAGTGTTTCAGTAGAAGGATGCGAAGTGAAGAGAGGTGTCAAAGTAAAAGAAGCAGCAGCAGCACGGCAGCAGTAGCAGTATGAAGCGGCAGCGGCAGCAATAGCAGCAGTAGCAGCAGTAGCGGTAGCAGTATGACGCAGCAGAAGCAGCATTAGCAGGAGCAGTAGCACCACAATGCGATTCATACGAACAACAGACGTGTCACGCCAGTGTGCGCCGCTTGTCTCCGTGAGCCAGGTTACATACGTGTCTGAAAGAGCCGAGCCGTAGAGACAGGTGCAGCCTGGGAGCCCGCGGAGCGGCAGCGGCAGGAACAGCAGCAGCGGCACATGTAGTAGCAGGAGCAGCAGGAGCAGGCAGCAGGAACAGGCAGCAGCGGGAACAGGCATCAGCGGGATCAGGCATCAGTAGGAACGGCAGCAGGGACCGGCAGCAGCGGCGGTCAGAGAACCATGCCCATGGTTGTTGAACAGCCTGAGGAAATAATCAACCCGAATCCGAAACATTCCCATGCGAATAACAGATGTCCCCCGGAGCCATCTTCTGCTTTGGTTATGGCAGAGACGCATGAACGATCACTTTTCCACGCGTTCATTAGCTCCAACACCAATTCACACCCATTGCAGATCACATTGGCCCTTTTTCTTTCTGCTGCACTTTCAAAATGCAACAACTGCAGTTCAGTTACCAATTTAATACTAGTGACCTAGCTCTTTAAATGCATGGCCCCTCTTTCCTCCTGCAGATAGACAGATTTAAATACATTCATTTAACAATGTGACCTGCGAGTAATGAGATTAATGCCGTAAAGATGGCGCCGTGGCAAGAGCTCTGGTGTGTACAGTCTGGAGCACGATGGGGTAGTCTTTGCACGTGTTTTCCAACGTGGTTTTACTGCAAGTGGCAGAACAAGAATCTGAATTAATGCACACTGCTCCTTTTATATCCCTCAGACAATAGAGATTTGATGCCATTTAAGATGCATTGCCCCTCAGTTAGCTCAAACACGTGTGAAACGGAGCCTGCAGACCAAGCACGGGGCGAAACTGGCGCCTGTAGTCAAGTGCGTAGGGCAAAACCAGCCGCTTGCAGCCCAGACTCAGGGATTAATCCGTCCGCAGGTCGGCACACTCACTGTACTCACATGCCAGGAGACGTGGGAAAAGCAACGGGACAACGCGGCACCGCCAGTCGGAGGCAGGGACACGCACGGCACCGCCAGACCGTCTGCGCGCGGCAGCAGACCACGAGGAACGAGCAGCACAGGACCCGCGGAGGGGGCCCCGCGGAGCAGCCCGCAGAAGAGCCCGCAGAGAGAGCAGTGGAGACACGCGAACCACAGCAGGTGCAGGGACACGGAAGAGGAGCAGACCACAAGCAGCCAGGCTGAGGACAGCCGGGCCACGCGCACGAGCAACACGTGAGCAGAAGCGACCCCTCCAGAACAACGCATGCATTTGCGAACAGGAGCGTTAGCGACATGCACCTTGCGGACTTCAGAAGGCTGGGAAGTGGGTGTCTCCGGCTTTTAACTTGCTGTCCTGGTGGTTATTGGTTGATTAGATGTGGGCGTTGCTGGTATGATGAGTCGAGGATGAGCAGGCTTGTAGCAGCGGCCGGGTCTACCACAGTGAATTTTTGCGAAGAGCTTCATAACATTTTAATTTTTTGTCATGAATCAACAACAAGTGGGACACAATCGTGGAGTGGAACAACATTTATTGGATAATTTAAACTTTTTTAACAAATAAAAAACTGAAAAGTGGGCGGTGCAATATTATTCGGCCCCTTTACTTTCAGTGCAGCAAACTCACTCCAGAAGTTCAGTGAGGATCTTTGAATGATCCAATGTTGTCCTAAATGACTGATGATGATAAATAGAATGCACCTGTGTGTAATCAAGTCTCCGTATAAATGCACCTGCTCTTTGATAGTCTCAGGGTTCTGTTTAAAGCGCAGAGAGAACCATGAAGACAAAGGAGAACACCAGGCAGGGCCGAGATACTGTTGTGGAGAAGTTTAAAGCCGGATTTGGATACAAAAAGAGTTCCCAAGCCCTAAACATCTCAAGGAGCACTGTGCAAGCAATTATATTGAAATGGAAGCAGTATCAGACCACTGCAAATCTACCAAGACCCGGCCGTCCCTCCAAACTTTCATCTCAAACTGATCAGAGATGCAGCCAAGAGGCCCATGATCACTCTGGATGAACTGCAGATAACTACAGCTGAGGTGGGAGAGTCTGTCTCGGACCTGCCTGGTGTGTTCCTTTGTCTTCATGGTTCTCTGCGCTTTAAACAGAACCCTGAGACTATCAAAGAGCAGGTGCATTTATACGGAGACTTGATTACACACAGGTGCATTCTATTTATCATCATCAGTCATTTAGGACAACATTGGATCATTCAAAGATCCTCACTGAACTTCTGGAGTGAGTTTGCTGCACTGAAAGTAAAGGGGCCGAATAATGTTGCACGCCCCACTTTTCAGTTTTTTATTTGTTAAAAATTTTAAATTATCTAATACATTTTGTTCCACTTCACGATTGTGTCCCACTTGTTGTTGATTCATGACAAAAAATTAAAATTTTATATCTTTATGTTTGAAGCCTGAAATGTGGCGAAAGGTTCAAGGGGGCCGAATACTTTCGCAAGGCACTGTATATATATATATATATATATGTGGCATAACAACTGTATAGTATATACATTATCATGCAATTCAATGTACTATATATAGATTTTGTGAACAGTTTTTTATAAAAGTATTTTGAAAAATGTTGTTTTTGTTTTGCAAGACTTTATTTCTAGTGAAGTACTGACCCAATGGCTTTGAGCAACATAACCCTGGTCCTGTGGTCTGAACCAGGTCTAAATCAGGTCTGACCCTGGTCCTGGGGGAAATCATTGTGTTCATTGCCACTCTTGAATCCGCTGTGGTCGTAGCTACAATAGTCCTGTCCTAGAAACAGTGCATCTAATTAATGTTTTGCTTGGATTTGTTCATCAACAACCTTGATAAATGTCAGTGTGAGGTACAGTCCAAATGTTTTTATTTACAATAGTCAATTAGTCTCTTACCACAGTGGCTCATGGTCGCTGCTGACCGCTGACCGCTGCTGACCGCTGACCGCTCAGAACAGTGATGACCGCTCAGACCTGTGATGACCGCTCAGACCTGTGATGTAACATGTGCCCGTTCCTCGCAGACTGGTCCAGGAGAGCACATGTTCATTCACACCTGTGGCCGACAGAGGTGTCATATTGTTATTGACTGAGATTGTGACGAGTGTGGATTAGAAGCGTGTAACAAAGCCCTGATGTGAGCAGCACATGATGCACCCACAGGAGGATTAGAGCTGCCACTTCAGGACTAATACCTTTAAATACGTGCAGCGCCGCAGCTCTGACTGAGTTGTGAACTCTCGGTGTGAGCAGACATATCATCCTCAGCTCCTCTTTTTTTTAGCAGCCTTGGTGTTTTTGCAATATTTTTTATTGAATTGGAACAGAACATTTGTGACGTCCAGGTACAAGAGAAATATGTCAAAATGCTCCTGGACATTAATGGTAAAATGGTATGTAATGCTCATATAAAGGTGTCACTTTTACTGAGTAAAAGCTTATCTTACAGTTACTGTTTCCTCTGTTGCAGGTTTCATCGACAGAAGAATGTGTGGGACCGATGCGTCTGACCCGGGAACCGATCCAGGTGAGTCTCATTTGTCTTCATTTGAATCTACTTTTCCAAACTACTGTAAAGAAGCTATGACTGGCAAAATGTCAACTTTAATGGGATGGACATATTATGAATGAACTGTTGCAGTAACGGCATGTGGCTCAGATAGGATTGAATAAATAATAGTTTAAAATAATAAATAACAATAAATACTATTTTCGTTTACAAAAATTACCTCACTAATTAAATGCTTTGTCCTGATCCCGTCTAAAGCTGCAGTGCCCTGTAGATGGCTCTTATACAGTATGTCCTGCAGACAGTAAAGCTGTGTGTGAGTGAATGTGTCCAGAAAATATCAAATTGATTTATTAAGTCTGTGTTCTCTCTCTCTCTCTCTCTCTCTCTCTCTCTCTCTCTCCCTCTCTTGCTCTCTCTCGCTCTCTATCTCTCTATCTCTCTCTCTCGCTCTCTCTCTCCCTCTCTCTCTTGCTCTCTCTCGCTCTCTCTCTCCCTCTCTCTCTTGCTCTCTCTCGCTCTCTCTCTTGCTCCATCTCGCTCTCTCTCGCTCTCTCTCTCGCTCTCTATCTCTCTCTCTCTATCTCTTTCTCTCTCTCTTTCTCTCTCTCCCTCTCTCTCTTGCTCTCTCTCGCTCTCTATCTCTCTCTCTTTCTCTTGCTCTCTCTTGCTCTCTATCTCTCTCTCTCTCTCTCTCTCTCTCCCTCTCTTGCTCTCTTTCCCTCTCTCTCTTGCTCTCTCTTGCTCTCTCTCGCTCTCTATCTCTCTCTCTTTCTCTTGCTCTCTATCTCTCTCTCTCTCTCTCTCTCCCTCTCTTGCTCTCTCTCGCTCTCTCTCTCGCTCTCTCTCTTGCTCTCTGTCTCTCGCTCTCTCTCTCTCCCTCTCTCTCCCCCCCTCTCCCTCATTAGCATAAACACAGTTGTATTCTGATGTGAATATTTGAATAATAACCTAGCGTCCTGCATTAATGGCATCATGAACTTAATAATCCCCTTCCCCCTGTCTCCATTGGCCCACTCTCTGCTACATGTCTGCAGCTCTACAATGTCTACTAAAGCAGATAATGGTGACTTTTATGCACAAACTAATACCTACCAACATCAGTTCACATTACATTAATACTAATTTAACACACACTTAGAGTTAGGGAGTAGTATAATGAGACCTCATAAACCTCAGAGTACAGTTGTATGTACAGTAGCAGCTTGTTTACCACCTGCTGAGTTCTGAGTGTACAGGACGGCCCGAGCCTGGGATTGTCTGTGCTCATCCTGGGATCGGGGATTAGGAGAAGTACAAGTCAGATTTTCACTTGTGTAACAGAGAAAGTCCCTGAGAAGACTGACTGGAGCTCAGCACGGCAGCAAGTGATTTTTAGGTATTTCAGTCGTTTTAGGAACAAGTTATTTTTTGTCCCTATGGGGAAATTAGTTAATGCTGAATCATATTTTTTTTTGTATTGCCATTGTGAGTAACAATAAGTCACAATCTAGGAAATTGCTTTGGCTCGCGGTGCAAACGAGTGAAGAAGTAAAAATAGAGTAAGGTATGCATAAAATAAAAAATTACATAACGTTTTTTAAAATGACTTTAATTTGATAAGAAACTGCACTTGTTCCCAAAGTCTGGAAAACCACAACCCCGGAAATCTCTCTGAGCCCCATTTTATTCTTAAGATTATAAAATGTTTGATCTTTTTATATTCAATCAAAACACATCAACCTAAATAATGTCTAAGCAAATATGTATTCATTTTACAAACACGTGAAACTGTGATTATTAGAATATTGTTCAAAAGTTAAAGGAGCAGTGTGTAAAAATCTGGCCAAAAGTGGTAATGCAACCTCTCCCTGACTCAGGTTGCCAGATATGCAGACGAATCCAGCTTGGACCATAATATCTGAAAGTGTTTTGTCAACAACAGATCTATGGCCAAAAGCTTTTGCACAGAGATAGAAATCCTGGTTTTATTCCTTGTTTTGTCGTTAATGGTTTGAGAATGTGACTTTACCGGTGAGATTAGCTTGACGCGGTGAGTTCTAGCAAACCCGGATCACAGACTTTCTGATTGGTGAAATGGTGGAGGGCGGGACATCGAAATGAAAACAATAACAAGAAGATTTAGAGGTTGTAAATATCTCGGGTGAACTAATGTTATCAGTTAAAGAAGTTTTGGAAAAGAGCATGGTTTATTAATTCCTTTTAACAGATTAGGGCCCTTTAATGACGACTTCACATAAAAACCTTACATATTGCTACTTGAATTTATTTCCGTAATTCAACTCAAGTGATATATAAGGAAATAGATACACTTTATTGTTCCCCGTACATGAAATAGTCCCCTGCATTTGACCCATTTGACTCAAGGCCTCTATCGATGCGCAATAAACCACATTTATTTTATGTTTTACAAATGTGAATGCATGTGGTCGAGGGTAAATACAGGCCGTGTTTCACTTTGAGACGCACGGCCTTAACTGGATGACTTTAGATGTTGTGAGGTCAGTGGGCTGCTGCTGCCGGATACACTTATTGTTTTGCCCAATCAACCTGTGTTGGGTTTTGAAATTCGTTTTTTTTTTTTTTTTATTGGAACCCTCCCAGGTGTAAGAGCTGAGATTGTGTACTAACATTCTAACACATATGGATGTATCTTTGTGACCCCCAAGCTATAATCTGGCATGTTTTTGTCATGTTTCTGTCATGTCTGTCTCCCAACATACACTGTCCCAATACACACATAAATACAAATACATATAGTTCACTCATTCTGCAGTTGAGCTCACAGCCAAACCCGGGACCTAAACCTCAGGAACAAAATGTGACTTTGTTGCGATGTTTCTGTTGCTTCAGTGTCCTGTAGCTGTTCAGAGAAGTTCAGTATTTCAATTCAATTCCATTTATTCTTGTATAGCCCTGAATCACAGCAGTAGTTATCTCGATTGAGTTTACGCAACCGTTGAATTCCCCAATACAGAAAATCAATCATAAAAAGATCAATAGTGAAGTGATACTTTATTGTCCTGTAGGGAATAATTGCTCCTCTGCATTTGACCCATTCTGCAAAGCCACTAGGCCTCTGTCCGGAGCAGTGGTTGCTGTAGGACTCATCTCCAGATAAGATAAGATCGGATAAACTTTATTGATCTCACACTGGAGAGAGATAGAATCACTCAGATTGTGCAAGTGTGGAACTATTTAATTGTGGAACTAATTATATCCTGTCTGTGTAGGATATAATTATGTACAGTTAAAAAAGTGGCAATAAAAGAAGTGTGGCAATAGTAGTGCAGGTTTTCTCAGTCCTCGTGCATTGGTGACTTAAAGTGACTTATTGCGCAGTCTGACAGCGGTCCTGACCAAGCCAAGATGTTGAGGCATTGGCTTGATCAGGACCAGAGCTGGAGTATTTTATCTATTGTACATGTTTTTAGTATTTGGAGAACTTGCAAACTCCAATCAGAAAAGCCCTTTGCCAATTTAAACCCAGGATCTTCTTGCTGATGAGCGAAAGTGCCTCCCGTCCAGTTAGCACAGAGATGTGTCCTTCTTACTATCATTTGATCATGGATTCTTTCAATCACCAGGACAAAAACAAATCTAATATAACACTGTCCCACTGATTAACAATATGCCTGTTGCACTAGACATAACTATTTGTTTGTTATTGTTTGTCTTGTCCGTTTGTATGTTTTAAATTGGACAAATAGTCTGTAATAAAGTTGAATTTAATTGATTGAAAACATAAATACGTTGCTGAATTGGCTCCACATTTGGTTCCTGCACTGGTCCCATGAGGCCAGAGTTAAGATTGGACAAAGAAATTAATTTGTAAATACACACAGAATTTATCTCTGAATGAGTTTGGACTAGAATCACACATTAGTCTGAAATTCTGGGGCCCAATGTTTGTCTTTTGTGCTGGGTTGAGTCTCCATGAATCTGTCAAAAGCAGCTGCTCACATTTATGACAAGGCGGTGTATGCTAATGGTGCATCTCTCAGTTTCAGAACATATTTGGGTGGCAGGTCAAAGATCCACGCGGTTAGCATGTCCTGGGGTCTGCGTGTGGAATTTCACATGCTAACACCGCGGTTATACAAGCTCCAGGGATCAGAGTGTGGAGATGTTCACTGGGACTCGACAATACTATCTCACATTCTCCTTCTGCCCTCATTTCAGATCTTTTCGGTGTTTTTTCTCTTTGTTCCGCCGTTGCCTAACAAGTGTAAACTGTTGGTTTTGGAGCACATCCATGTGGTCTTCTGTTGTGGTGGTCTTTGTAGTGGCCGGGGTGATGCTGGGGTGATGCTGGGGGCCAAAGTTAAGTGCAGTTGCTTCTGGCTTTGGTCCATCAGCCGCGGGACTGAGTGTGTGTTTTATGTTGCTAACCATTGAACAATAGGTTGTGTTTTTATGATCTGAACCAGGAATGGGCTATATTTTCCTCCTGAGGGCCACATTTGAATATCAGCCTGCTGTCGGGGCCGGACATATTTTCCAATGTTTATCTCAGACTTATATTTTACACATGAATATAAATTATATTTAAATATTATATCTTGCGGCAGAGCGAGGCGTACGACTGTGGCTCCAGAGCTCTGCATGCAGCACACAGGGATTTTATAGTCTTTATACTATATTTATATAAACTGAGGAGGGCTCCCGGGCCTGATAGAAATGTTCAATGGGCCGAATCTGGCCCACGGGCCAAGGTTTGCCCAGCACCGGTCTGAACACTGTCTGTGGAGTATAACTAAAACTGATCCTCATTGTGTCTATAATAATGTGTTTCAGTTATTATTTGTTCATGGGCTTGTTCACACTAAAGGGCACAAAAGTGTGACAAAAGGCCAAAAATTAGATTTTAATAATCAGAAGATATTTTATGTTTTTCATGTTTCCAAGCACCTCCTCTGTCCATTAGAAGTTGCTAGAACATAACTGTTTTATACATTAGACAAGTTTCCTATAGCGGCCCTGTTTATTTTATGTAACGGACGTGATGATTTGACGGAATGAGCTTTGTGGAAGTTTGATAGGTATTTTCAGATGTCTACATTTGATTCAGAGATTCTATTTTTTTACACAAAGTAGATGCAAAGTGATACTTTCATATTGTCAAGCAATTAAATGTGAAAACAGACAAGATTTTTTTCTTTCTCAAGTTAAAATTTTAGAGAAAAGAGGACGGAAACCATCACGTTCGTTATACATTTTTCAAGGGTCATTTAATTAATTATTTTTTTATTTTTTAACGATTCCTTTTCATATCAAGTGATTTCCTGATGTCGTGTTAACCATGTAAATATTGTGGGATTTAATCTGCCGCTTTTTCAGACTGAGGACATTTTATTTTCTATGTAACTGGCGTCACAGTAGAATGGTCAAAAAAGAGGCTGATTTTGTCGTTTAAAATGTCACCAAAAATATATTTGACAATCTTTCCTTTTGATTTTATCCACACTATCTCTTTGACGTGTCTGTGTTTGAAATCTTTTTTCCAATCTATGATAGTAATTTTAGTTTTTAAGTTATAACCTTTTAAAGTCGAGATACTTCAATTGACACTTAACTGTGAACACACTCTCAATACATCTTCATGCTTTGATATATATTTGACATGACATTACATCACATATTGCAATTACATTTCAAATAATGGTAGTCCTGTCACACAAATGAAAAGGAGCAGAAAGAAGATGTTGCCTGGCCCTTTCTTAAACATGTACAAAAGATGGACTGTAGTACTCTTTCTTGAAACTGTATTTATTTATTTACTTCAGCACTTATTCTGTGGTGGTTATATGTCTTTTAATCATCATAGAGCATGCATATTGTTTTAGTTGTCATGTTAAGGGGGGCTATTTTTGCCAAAATATTTTTGATTGACGAAGTGATTTAAAGGAGCAGTATGTAAAAATCTGTCCAGAAGTGGCACTGCACTCTCCCTGACTCAGGTTGCCAGATATGCTGACGAATCCAGCCGGAACCATAATAGTTCAATAGAAAAGAGTTTTTTCAACAATAAATCTATAACAAAGATAGAAATTTTATTTATTGTTTTGTCGTTAATGATTTGAGATTCATAACAAGACCGTTTTTAGTGCAGCTGCCACATTGTACTTTATCAGTGAGATTAGCTCAATGCAGTGACTGGCAACCCGGATCATGGACTCTCTGATTGGTTAAACAGTGGAGGACGGGACATCGAAATGAAAACAATAACAACAGAAATGTACTGATGTGTTTTTTTCCCTTTAATCTCCTGTGGTCTGTAAATGCATGTCCTGTAATGTGTTTTTGTTTCCTAGGTGCTGCTGGTGTTCGCCAAAGAGGACAATCAGAGCGATGCGTTCTGGTGGGCCTGTGACCGCGCAGGATTCCGCTGTAACATCGCTCGGACGCCAGAGTCTGCGGTCGAGTGTTTTCTCGACAAGCACCACGAGATTATTGTTATCGACGGCCGGCATTCTCGATACTTTGAGCCCGAGGCTGTCTGTCGGTGAGGGACTTCTTTAGCACCTGTTTAATTATTGCCCACAGCTCATACAGCACCGTCCCTGATGCACTTAACACTTGAACTCCCAGAGCAGTCAATTTGACGGCTTTTTGTTTTTGGAAGTGTAATTACTCTGATTATGAATGTTTTTGGTCTTCATAACTGTCTATCTGTTTCTATATGTAGTTTATTTGCAGCTATGTTATGACATTATCTTGATCCTATACTGGTCCGTGATTAGATCGGAGTCAGTGCTGGTTACTATAGCAACACACTGTTTACTTGAAGCATTTAGTATTTTGTATTTCTGTATTTAAGTTATATGAACCGGTTTTAGCATGTTTTAAAGATACTAAATACCCCGGATGAATCTTAATAAGAGTAGTGAAAAACTACAACTGTTTTTTTGGGGGATTTTTTCTGAATTCTATTGATTTGAATGGAAGCTGTCAAAATTACTGCTCTGGGATTTCTCGTATAGTTTCAGAATTCTGGGAGTCCTAGTTGGTTTTATTATAAGTCACAAAATAAAATAACCCAAATAGTAATTATGTAATCTGCCAAAAGTTTTGTATCAAATTGCTTGAAAATGTTTTGTAGTCCCCTGATACCCAGCCGTGTAAAAGAAAGTGCATTTTTCTGATTTCCCAGGTTGATACGTGCCACAAAACCTTCTTCTAAAACGGTCATTCTGGCTGTTGTTCCTCTGATGTAAGTCCACTGCACCAATACTAATCTCTTCAGACCTGAAATTAAGTGAATGATGAATAACTTGATCCCTCGTACAGGCCCCCGGACCAGGACGAGCCGTCTGTTCTTCCTCTCCTCTGCGCAGGCTTCAGCAGAGTAGGTTTAAAACACACCTCTAGCATGTCCATGTGTAAAATCATTAATAACATGTTTTTATTCCTCCATTTTGGTCTTTTCTTGTGAAATCTTGTGTTCAGCGGTTTGTGGAGAACAGCAGTGTGACGGCCTGTTATAATGAACTGGTCCAGATCGAGCACGGAGAGGTCCGCTGTCAGTTCAAACTCAGGTAATCCAGCATCACATCAGCCAAGGAGCGAGATATTATTTATTATTATGTGTTTATTTGATAGGGACAGAACAAGAAGCATTGCTACAGGAACTGATGCTGTGTTCATAGGCCTTATAGCTAACAGCTAGTTGGCAGACCTGGAAATACATCACGTTTACTTTATACATGCATCATTATATTAAAAAAATAAGTAAATAAGTAATTCTAAATAACAAACAAACAAAAATAACTCCACAGATTACATAGTACAAAAGAAATTACAATAGGTGATTAGAGGAGAGGAGCTGTGGGGGATTTCAGGGTAACAGCGCACATTACAGAACAGTAGCAACACAATAAACAGCTGTAAATATGTAGAGAATAACAAAAAGTGTGCGAAAAGTGTGAAAAATAAAACCCGATTGTGTCCATGTCTGTGCAGGGCTTGTAACTCCATCTTCACTGCTTTGGAACACTGTCAGGAGGCCGTGGAGATCACCAGCGAGGATCACATTATTCAGGTTAGAGCTGCAACTAACGATTATTTTGTAATCGATTAATCTATCGATTATTTTTACGATTAATCGAGTAATCGCTTGGCTGTGAATTGTGTAGAAAAAAAATGTTTTTTAATCACAAAAAGCTAAAGTGGCAACACTCGAAGACGTATTGATGGCGTAAACTTAAAGTAAATGTTTGTAACAGGCTCTTTGTGCTAATTCTGCTATCTGATTGGATGAGACAGACAGATATTCATGAAATTATAAAAACGAAGTCGGTTTTAATCAAAAATACTACATTTTCATGTCATTTTTGCTCTGTTTGAGTCCGTGTGAACCAGAAAACGATTAATCGATTACTAAAATAGTTGTCGACTATTTCAATAATCGATTAGTCGTCGATTAATCGATTAGTTGTTTCAGCCCTAATTCAGGTCTATACACACACACACACACACACACAAACGCACACCCACACAAATGTGCACACACACTCACACATACACACATGCACATATACACACACACACACACAAAATACATATCATGTACATGTACACACACACATGTATGTCTAAGAATACACAGTGTACCATATGCACACACACACATGCACGCACACTTGCATATACACATATACACTCATGCAAACATACACGCACACACGAATACACACGCATATACATTATGCACACACACATGTATACCTAAGCATACAGTGCCTTGCGAAAGCATTCGGCCCCCTTGAACCTTTCAACATTTTGCCACATTTCAGTCTTCAAACATAAAGATATAAAATTTAAATTTTTTGTCATGAATCAACAACAAGTGGGACACAATCGTGAAGTGGAACAAAATTTATTGGATAATTTAAACTTTTTTAACAAATAAAAAACTGAAAAGTGGGGCGTGCAATATTATTCGGCCCCTTTACTTTCAGTGCAGCAAACTCACTCCAGAAGTTCAGTGAGGATCTTTGAATGATCCAATGTTGTCCTAAATGACTGATGATGATAAATAGAATGCACCTGTGTGTAATCAAGTCTCCGTATAAATGCACCTGCTCTTTGATAGTCTCAGGGTTCTGTTTAAAGCGCAGAGAGAACCATGAAGACAAAGGAACACACCAGGCAGGTCCGAGATACTGTTGTGGAGAAGTTTAAAGCCGGATTTGGATACAAAAAGATTTCCCAAGCTTTAAACATCTCAAGGAGCACTGTGCAAGCAATTATATTGAAATGGAAGGAGTATCAGACCACTGCAAATCTCCAAGACCCGGTTGTCCCTCCAAACTTTCATCTCAAACAAGGAGAAGACTGATCAGAGATGCAGCCAAGAGGCCCATGATCACTCTGGATGAACTGCAGATAACTACAGCTGAGGTGGGTGAGTCTGTCCATAGGACAATAATCAGTCGTGCACTGCACAAATCTGGCCTTTATGGAAGAGTGGCCATTTTTCAAAGATATCCATAAAAAGTCTGGTTTAAAGTTTGCCACAAGCCACCTGGGAGACACACCAAACATGTGGAAGAAGGTGCTCTGGTCAGATGAAACTAAAATCAAACTTTTTGGCCACAATGCAAAACGATATGTTTGGCGTAAAAGCAACACAGCTCATCACCCTGAACACACCATCCCCACCTCAGCTGTAGTTATCCACAGTTCATCCAGAGCGATCATGGGCCTCTTGGCTGCATCTCTGATCAGTCTTGTCCTTGTTTTAGATGGAAGTTTGGAGGGATGGCCGGGTCTTGGTAGATTTGCAGTGGTCTGATACTCCTTCCATTTCAATATAATTGCTTGCACAGTGCTCCTTGAGATGTTTAAAGCTTGGGAAATCTTTTTGTATCCAAATCCGGCTTTAAACTTCTCCACAACAGTATCTCGGACCTGCCTGGTGTGTTCATTTGTCTTCATGGTTCTCTCTGTGCTTTAAACAGAATCCTGAGACTATCAAAGAGCAGGTGCATTTATACGGAGACTTGATTACACACAGGTGCATTCTATTTATCATCATCAGTCATTTAGGACAACATTGGATCATTCAAAGATCCTCACTGAACTTCTGGAGTGAGTTTGCTGCACTGAAAGTAAAGGGGCCGAATAATATTGCACGTCCCACTTTTCAGTTTTTTATTTGTTAAAAAAGTTTAAATTGTCCAACAAATTTCATTCCACTTCACGATTGTGTCCCACTTGTTGTTGATTCATGACAAAAAATTAAAACTGTATATCTTTATGTTTGAAGCCTGAAATATGGCAAAATGTTGAAAGGTTCAAGGGGGCCGAATACTTTCGCAAGGCACAGTACACACGCGTACATATGCACGCAGACACGCACACACGTACACACAATTATGCACCCATATGCATACACACACCCATGCATACCTAAGCACACACACACACATATACGCAGACACACACATGCACACAGTCACGCATACAGGCACACACAAATGCATACACACCCACACATGCACATAGACACACACATATACGCACGCATGCATATCTAAGCAAACACATGCACACACACATTTGAGTGAAATCCACTTCTTTTTACAGTACGTGAACCCAGCCTTTGAGCAGATGATGGGGTATCAGAAAGGAGAACTGATCGGGAAAGAACTGACTGAACTCCCCAAGAGCGACAAGAACCGAGCCGACCTCCTGGAGACCATCAACACCTGTATCAAGAAAGGAAAGGTGTGAACAAATGTGAAAAAATTCAACTTTTGTGGCCTAAATCTTCCTGCCTGTGACTCAAGTATCTCCTGTGAACTGATTACTGATGCAATCCACCTGCTGGGGTTTAGCTAGAAACGTTGTGTATTACGACTGGTTTTATGTCTGCCATCTATCGTTCATTTCAACAAATGTGTGGGGCCATTTTGTTTGTGAATTCTTTAAAAATAATTTAAAAAACAAGCTGGCAACCCAGATGAAAATAGTAAAGATGACTATTATGTTATGTCCATTGTATTTTTCTGTCATCTGGGGAGTCATAGACAAGATGTAGATGTCATTTAATTGAAAAAATTACATACTGTCCCTCTAATCTGGTCTGAATAGGAATGGCAGGGCATCTACCACGCCCGGAAGAAAACAGGAGACAGCATCCAGCAGCATGTGAAGATTACACCTGTGATCGGCCAAGGAGGGTGAGGACAACACCTGCAGTCTTATTAGTCTGGTATTATTCAACTAATCTAATATCTACATAAACATATTTATGGTTTGATTCTTTTAACAGAAAGATCAGACATTTCGTTGCCATTAAAAGACCTCATTACGACAACAACAATCAAGTAAGTCAATATTTATTTATTTTTAATTAATGAAACTGAAATGTAAACACAAGAAGCTTATAAACTCGTACTAAATATGTAGTTATTAATAATAATGATCATAAAAAGAATAATCTTATTCATGTAAATTACCTTTCAATAATACATTTCAAATTGTGCAGGAAGAGTGACACTTTTTGAACTGATTAGACCCGCCCTTGCCCTCCCTGCGGCCTCCTGATTGGCCAAAATTCATTAAAATCTTTGAGGCCGCTCGTTCATTGGTTTAACTATTCTTCTTGTAGTTATTTTAATTCCATTTATTTCTGTATATTCCTAAATCACTACAGTAGTTATCTCGGAGGGCTGGTCAAAGTCGTCGATTCGCCAACACAGATCAGAGAATCAAACAGGAAATGAAATCATAAAAAACACATTGGTCCATAAGGGACAGATGACCAATGTCCATAAATGTTGATAAAGTCCATAAATGTCCTATATGCGGTCCTGCATCTGCCACAAAAAACTCTAAAAACCCAAAGTTAGAAAATGAGAAACCTTGGGGAGGCCGGGCTATAGATCCAGGACTCTGGCAGGAGAACCAGGACTAAGGTTACAGTTATGCCAGGGGGAGAGACATATTCTAATTCACAGTATTATTGTTGAAAACGTCTAATTTCCCATAATAGTCCAATGTCACCAGGACAGAAGAACCTTTAACAAATAAAATACAGTTTAAGCTGCAGACGTAATCTTTAAACGTATTGTATATAAGATTGAGATACGTATGTGGGGCCCCCAAAGCTCTTAGTATCAACATAAAAGGATTTGAGAAGAACCTCCAGGGCGTCATAATACTCGAGAGGCGGAGAGGATTTCAAACATACCAACTACAGTCCTGGATTAGACCTTATGTCTCACAATAACCCCAAAAGCAGCATAAGATACATCTGAGAAACAGCAACACAACAGTAAGAATAGAGCAACACCCAAACAAAATGAATAAATATAAGATTTCTCATTCTTTTGTGAACGTGTATTTCGATTGTGGACAGAAATACTTCACATGTTCCTTAACCAGGTGTGCTGCTGCTCTCAGCTGAGTTTCAGGCCAATAACGTCATTCTCCGCTAAGCCAGGGCTAAGCTGCAGGATCCCCCTCTAAGAAGTGGGAGGGATCACAGCCAGGCGCCACGGCTATTTATACTTAGGGCAAAGCTGCACAGGGCCCGGCTCTTTCATGCTGTGTGCAGAAGGTGATTCAGCTGTTGGCATCCCCTCTGTCAGGAGCGGGAGCCACTCTGATCCCTTCTCAAAAGTAAAGAAGTCATTCCTCGCCAGACAAAACTGTTTTATTGCAGTAATTAAATGATTTTGGTCTTTCCGGAGCGGATTTTGGGATATGTTATAGTTATATATTGTATGCTGTATTACTATATGGCAGATGTGTCAGACTGGTTCCAGGAAGGGCAGGTGTGGCTGCAGGTTTTCATTCCAAACAAGCAGGAGCTCACTAGACTTCACTCAGTTCATTTTAAAGTTCACACTGGACTCACTTGATGAAATGAGTGGGGTCTGGTGTGCTCTGTGTGGTTGGACTGAAAACCTGCAGCCACATAGACTTTTGACTGGTTTGCAGAGATGACAAGTAACTACTGTAATTGCTGGACTATAAGCAATTCTCTGTTGATGTGATTATTAAATAAAATCATTATTATAATTTATGTTAAATAAGCAGCCGGATACCAAGGATATTTCCAATATTATAACTAGTCCAATAATGTTCTGTTGTTTTGTGATTTCTAGATTCATAAGATCAACAGGGAAGACAGAGGCAGTGGGGAGCTTTCCCAGTCAGGTAAATACATCCAGGCATGAAGAATAATATGAAGAATAAAAAATAATAAAGCTTTTCAAATAAATTATTTTAAAGTAAATGAATGGTATATATTCTATTATATCCTTTTTGTTTATCTGTTTTATTTGTATGAATAAATAACTGTGTTTTCTGCTGCAGATATTTATTCTTTACGTCACCGAGACCGGAGGAAAGACTCCATCAGTTCTCGAGGGAGCGATGGTAACGGTCTTCTTTAATATGGTTTCTGTTTGGTGAAGTTTGTGAGAAAGACCACTCTTTCTCACAAACCGCTCTCTCTACAGTCACAGTTTGATGCTGCTCTCTCCCTTCATCTACTTTTTAACCATCCATTTTTCTAGAAGGGTGGTCCTGAATAGTGTGGGCTTCAAATTATACATTTTTGTCATTTCCGATTGCAATTTTTAAGATTAATCCTTTACATTTCCTCTACAAAAAGCAAATGATCTAGTTGCATACTATAGACATCCTCTGGTGATCTGAGGCATAGAGAAGGTCCTGGGTTCAATTCCACGTCAAGAAGGGCCTTTCTGTATCGAGTTTGCATGTTCTCCTTGTGTCTACAACGTGAAACATGTACAAATAGGTCTGGTATGCCTATATTGCCAAATAAAGAAATACAACCCTATATTTTCAGGTTTGACAAAAAATCTGATTCCCATAGTGAATATTATCCTAGTTTCATAACAGAAATCACAAATCAAATCGCAATGGTTATCCGTAAAATCGTGTACTCTGAAATTGTACAGGCCTACTGGTCAGATCAGAGACAGAGCTCCCCCACTGATGAAGCTGCTTTTGTAATGATCCATTTCCTATCAAATCATTTTCAAAACATTGCTGTGAATTACAAAATAAGAGTTATAATGTGTTTGCTATCCAGGTTTAAACATGTTAACAATTATTTACATTGGACATATTTGTAAATCTGAAACTAATAAAATCTTTGTTATTCTTTCAGTTCCCAGTTTACAAAACAGAAGATATTCCTCAGTTGCCAGGATCCACTCCATGACCATTGAGGCTCCGATAACAAAGGTAGATATACATTTTTTTATTACACTGGAGTTCTGAAAATACTAGAACTCCAGTGTGTGAGCCGTCATTTTGACTGTTCCCATTCATTCAACCAAAGGAATTCTGAGAAATTCCTCAGAAGAATGTTGGGTATTTCCTCAAGATATTTACTTACTTACTTACTCACGTGCTTCTGTGAATAAAACTTGAAATAAAAACAGCTGAATGCTAACTTCTGACAGTAAACAATGTGTTGCTATGGTAACTAGTACTGGCTGTTCTTTAGGAGTCAATGGTAGAACTCCATGGGGCGACAGTGGCTCAGTTGGTAGAGCTTTGGCCTTTGAGCCTGAAGGTCGTGGGTTCAAGCCCACCGCAAGACCTACTTCATGGCTCCCACTGATGACTGCTACCGTTGTGTCCTTATGGTGCTTTCAGACCGGATCATGCGTTGCGTCGGCTTTCAATGCAAAGTCTATGGTGACGAGCGTTCCAGCGTCACAACGCACGGACCTCTCGTTTCACACGGACGGACTGTTCAGTAGAGACCAGAGACTGTATATATTAACGGACAGAGTCACGCCTATCTCCGCCGTTCTAACTAATGGGCCAAAAAATTTGCTCTACTGGAGCTATCCAAAATGGCCGCGAGTGGTCCCGCCCACAAGAAAATTGTGAAAAAACGCATCTGCGCATGCGTCAGCCGGCGCAGCTCCATTCATTTGAACGAGAGACTTCAAAAATTCACAGCAAGTAAACTAGATTGGTCCAAAAAAATCCACCCCCCTCAGCATTGACACACATGTGGAACGGAGCTTTGGACCAAGAGACAACTTTTGGTCCATCCTGTAAAGACGTTTTTGAGAGGTCTGCCAATGCTATATGTTAGCATTGGCTAATTCTTCTTCTGGGTCCACCCCCATCGGCCCGGGGTGGTATTGCAAGCATGTCAGCGCACGCCATTTTGGCCACTTTTGAGCTTGGACCCTCCCCCACTGGTAGAGACGCACGGACTTGGCGGGAAAGTCAAAGGGGAGGAGCAGCAGCGAAAAATCTACGCCCACAGGAGATGGATTCTGCTCATCCTTTCCTCGGGACGTTCGTGTGTAATAGTGATAAAAACAATGTAATAGATATATATACAGAAAAAGAGATTTGCAATAAATAGTTATTTCATAATTTACATAATATTTAAAAAAACAAGATAAATATGGTTAAAGGTATGTTAAAATATCTACAGTTAATTCAGTATTTACATTTTGAGTTTTTACAGAAAAGATTGTTATCGACTAGTAAGCCTGAACAACAATGGAGCGATTGGTTTTGCCCACACCGACAGATAGGGGGGGGGTTCGCGCTCTTTCCTCACTTGTATTAAACTCCTGCAAGAGGGAAACGCACCCAAATCACTCTCGTGGTTTTCTCCTTATTTCAGGGGCGTAACACGTGCAGCGACCAATCAGAAAGCCGCAAAGTGGTCACGGGGACATTAGCGGACTGAGCGCAGTGTTGCCAACTTAGCGACTTTGTCGCTAGATTTAGCGACTTTTCAGACCCTATAGCGACAGATCTAGACAAAGCATTAAAATCATTAAATGTTGTTAATGTTGAAATTATTTTTGTACATTTGTAGTTCTAAACATATTTAGGGTGTTTTTTACTCACGTTTGTCTCTCCCACGACGTCATTCCTCTCTCCTACAGCGTCCGTTACAGTTATTTGCAAATTGCCAATTATTATTATTGGCGATGACGTCATTTAGCGACTTCTAGCGACTTTTGGGACAGCCAATAGCTACTTTCCTTACTGAGGAGTTGGCAACACTGACTGAGCGAGCAGACTGAAAATACTCGTAAACAGCCAAAACAGGACCCACACCAGGCTTCACCAGAACTCAAACCAGGGTTGACAATGGGGGACTCTGTGCTTGTGAAAGTATGGGTTTTCATGCTCCCGTGACCTTATGCAACTGCTTCGAGTGTGTTCGCCGATGCGGAAATACCGTTTACTAATATGAAAAACGTATGGCGCACCTCCGTGAACACATACTACTGTTATATAAAGCCCGTGGAAGGTCTCTGAGCAAAGACACACTGCAAAGCTGCATATTGGAGAGGATCTGTACACAAGAAGCCGCTAGCATAGCTCTGTTAGCATCAGAGCCGGCCGGCTACTTCCTGCACTTCCGGTGCGCGTCAGGACGTTCTGGTGTGAAGACCTCTGCGTCTGAAAACTAGAGAATGCGCGTCTGGTGAGCGGGGCTTCAGCGTTTCAGCGTTGGCGGTCTGAATGCACCATTAGGCAAGACACTTAACCTGAAGCCCCCGCTGAATAATCAAGGCTCCTGTAGACTCACCACCTGCAGGAGGATCAGTGAGGGGCTGGTGCTCTGTGTACTGGGTGCAGCTCTGACTGTCACCCCCCCGACCCAGAAATGGATTAGGGGGAAGAAAATGGATGGATGGATGAATGGATGGTTGAACTCCTCTTATCTCAATAATATATTTTAATCAAAACAACGACATGGAAAAAACTACATATAGAAACCGAAAAAGTCACAAAGTTCTGAAGACCAAGAATGTGCATGAGCCATTACATGAGTAATTACAAAAGCTCCGGGATTTTTTGTGGTAAAAACCTGACTAATTTCACTGGGGACTGTAATGTTTTTTTCTCACTGAGACACATGAGACAACAACAGGACCTTGTCCTGTTGTTGTCTCATGTGTTCAAAAAGGCTCTTTCGCCTTCAGACAACATCACATGCATCTCACTGATGAAAGAGCTCCTGTCTTAACGCATGCAGTGATTGGGACTTTCCTCTCCTCAGGTGATAAACATCATAAACGCAGCACAGGAGAGCAGCCCTGTGACCGTGGCGGAGGCCCTGGAACGCGTGTTGGAGATCCTCCGCACCACCGAGCTCTACTCCCCTCAGCTGGCCTCCAAAGAGGACGACCCTCACACCAACGACCTGGTAGAGGGTCTTATGAATGTGAGTCCAGCCAAGCACCACGGGTTTATAGAAGGACGTTAATATTATTTACTGTATGTCTCATGAGTCTCCAAAACAGAATATACAGGAAATATTGTTATAGGTTGAATTCATGTGACATCACAACATCCCACTGAGTCTATACTCTGTAATTCCTGGGAATGGAATCTAACTATTTCCATTTGTAGTGTATCATTTATTTTACATTGGTCGTCTGCCCCTTATGGACCACTGGCTCTATGTGTTTTATATTATTGCATTTCCTGCGTTTGAACTGTTTGATTCTCTAATTTGTGTTGGTGAATTGACAACTTAGTAACTACTGTTGTGATTTTTCTTTTTTGGTTTTTGAGCTATAACCAAGTGCTAAAATAAATTGATTTGAATTTTCATTTTCAACTTTTCATTAAACATCAACAGGGGTAGAAAATGGTTGAATGGATGGAACTTTTCAAAAATAGTTTTTGTATTAGCGCCTGTTCTCCAACTGAAGTAGAATTCTTTATTATGAATGAAACCCATAGGAGATAAGATAAGAGAACCTTTCATTGTCAGGAAATTTCAGTTATTTGTCTTCTCTCATTCAGGACGGCCTTCGAAGACTCTCTGGGAACGAATATGTCTTTTCCAATAGTAAGTTGAAACCTTAAAGGTGTCCACAGCAACACAAAACATACGTTTAATTTGTACAACAAGACTTTGATAACTTTGTTTACTTAGATATCAGCCAAAACCTGGCGAACATTCCAGTCACTCTGAGTGACATCCCTCCGTCTATCGCTGAGATGCTCAACGACGAAGAATGTTGGGAGTTTAATATTCTAGAATTGGAAGCAGCGACGCATAAAAGGTACAGACTCTTTGGTCATTTGTTGTTCTAAAACAGGAATGTCAAACTCAGGCCCGTGGGTCAAATCCGGCCCGCGAGACCATTTTTAGTGTAAGTAAGTAAGTAAGTAAGCTTTATTTATATACCGCCTTTCACAGACCAGAGTCATAAAGCGGTTTACAATTGTTATTTTTTGGGCACTTGTCCTTTCACTCCACACAGAGATGGGAGCAGGGTGGCTCTGAAATTATTTTCAATTTTCATTATTTCAGTAACTCATTGATGGTGATGGCATACTATGGCTTAATCCTATTATCTCAGGAAAACCATAGCATTTAAACCGTTCTAAACATTTTATCTATTTAGAAGTTAAGTTAGGCCTAGGAAATACTTTTTAAAGTTAACTATCAGCCTTCAAATACATCTTCTTGATATTGGGTCCAGTTGTGGCTCTGCCAGACCCGTGTAGTTCCGCCATGCTCCACCAAAGGCATTTGGCTGTGAAGTACAGCGGACTATGGGTCTGGCGAGAGTCTGGCTAGTTGAATCCAAACCTACCAGAAAATAACCAAACACATGAATGAAATGTAAAACATCTCCTGTCTTTTTAAACTTGGCCCTCGACCAAAACCAGTTTGACACCCCTGTTCTAAAAGGTTTACAGACTCTGAGTTCTTTGGTCATTTGTTGCTCTAAAATCCTTGTTTTGTCGTTTCCATCTTGCAGACCGCTCACGTACCTCGGTCTCAAAATCTTCACCAGCTTCGGCGTGTGTGATTTCCTAAACTGCTCCGAGACCACGCTGCGCTGCTGGCTACAGCTGATGGAGGCTAGCTACCATTCGTCCAACTCTTATCACAACTCCACACACGCAGCCGATGTGTTGCACGCCACTGCCTTCTTCCTCCGCACAGAAAGAGTCAAGGTTAAGACCAAAAAGAATAAGCCTATAATTTCCTCACGTGATTCTGGTTCCAACCTTGCTTTCCCAATGTGTCTCCAGAGCAGTCTAGACCAGCTGGATGTGGTCGCAGCTCTGATAGCAGCCACGGTACACGACGTGGATCATCCCGGTAGGACAAATTCGTTTTTGTGCAATGCTAGCAGTGAACTGGCCATTCTCTACAACGATACGGCAGTGTTAGAGAGTCATCATGCAGCTCTGGCTTTCCAGCTCACCGCACGAGACAGCAAGAGCAACATCTTTAAGAATATCGACCGGTAACTAACTACTTTCTTCTGTCGGAAAAGAACCAAAATTGTTTGTTTGACACTGGTTTGACCCAACAGAAACACGAGAACTCCCAGAGCAGTCAATTTGACGCTTTTGTATTATTATTATTATTATTATTATGACAACTATTATCATTATGAATTATCGTTGTTGTTAATATCGTTATTTTTATTATTTTTATTATCCATCCATCCATCCATCCATCTTCTACCCTTTAATCCATTTCTGGGTCAGGGGGGTGGCAGTCAGAGATGCCACCCAAGTCTCATAGCACCAGCCCCTCACTGACCCTCTGCAGGTGGTGAGTCCACAGGAGGGCGGCTGCTCTCTGACTGTGAGCATAGCCTTGATCTTTCAGTGGGGGCTTTGGGCAAAGTGGGGTTAAGTGTCTTGCCCAAGGACACAACGACAGCAGTCATCAGTGGGAGTCGGTGGAGAAGGTGCAGAGGTGGGAATTGAACCCACGACCTTCTGGCCTTAAGGCCAATGCTCTACCAACTGATTATCATTATTATTATTATTATCAAATATCAGAGTCTGGTTCCGAGCCATCTCAGCTTGGAGCAAGTGCCAGTTACCATAGCAACACACTGTTTACTTACAGCAGTTAGAATTTAGTTTTGCTGTATTTCATCTATATCAACCAGTTTTAGGATGTATTAAAGATAAAAGCTGTATTACTTACTAATTAACACTAGTGAAAACCTTAAACTGTAGAATTCCACTCATTTGAATGGGAGCCGACGAAATGACTGCTCTGGGTTTTCTGGTAGTTTCAGAATTCTGAGAGTCAGTGTTGTATTTATTAGCATTTGTGTGTGTGGATAGATGTGTTTCTGCTGCTGCACACCTGAATCTCTCCTACAGCGGATCAATAAAGTATCTATCTTTTTTATACAGAAATCAATTGAGGACTCTGAGACAAGCCATCATCGACATGGTCCTGGCCACGGAGATGACCAGACACTTCGAGCACGTCAACAAATTTGTGAATAGCATAAACAAACCCATGGCGGCGATAGAGGAGACCAGCACTAGTGTGAGCTCCTGTGGTTCAATAGAGCATTTTTTAATCGGATTAATTATGACTGCTGACGAGTTTGTTTGTGCCACAGAGTGTAAACAGTGACGGTGAGGGCCCTGTGAATTTCAAGAGTTCTCCGGAGAATAGACTGCTGATAAAGCGGATGCTCATTAAGTGTGCAGATGTGGCCAATCCCTGCCGACCTTTGGCGCTCTGCATCGAGTGGGCAGGACGGATCTCTGAGGAGTACTTTGCGCAGGTTGGTGCTCTAAACACTGGGATTGTTCTTTTCTTTTTTTAAATAGAAGTGTATTTGTTGACCGTTATCTGGAAAGCCGCACTGAATCTCTTTTTCTGGAGAGTCCTGGTCCCTGAGAGAGAGAGGGAGTGGGGTCTGGGAAAGCCCCGGCGATCCAAGATGGCGCCGTATTAAAATGAATGGTTTGTGCTCAGTGTGGCGCATTGTGCCGACATGGGCGGCGAAAGATTAGCGGAACTCGCCTGGAACTCGTAAAGATCCATGGGAAACTCGCCTGAATTTGGGCATCGTCTGGTCCTCCCAGTTCTGCGCAGTGGGTGATCTCCCATGATGCGTTCGCAGTGCACGTGCACAGAGGGGCTCGGCTGTGCTTTGACCAATCAGAGCTGCTCATCAGAGGAGTTAGTTCGGGAGCCAGAACT